CAGTAGAATAAAATAATATTGTAATAAGTGTACATGTATCCAGCTTCTGATGTTTTCATTGAGTTGTTAATATACGCTGATAGAGCGAATGGATTATAAAAGAAATGATTATATGTTTATTATGTGGTTGGGGGTAGTCGGCAACAAATCCTGACATAAAATCACTGAGTTACTGTGGAACTGACTGATCTTCAGTAGAACTGAGAAATGTACATCAGTTGATAACTGAGCAGTAATCAGTATCATGTTTGTCCACTTCTTTGAGTGCTGATCAAATTCTGACAGTCAAGTTGTAATACGGCCACTAGAAATAAATAAATACAGAGTATACCGTAAAGAAATGTAGTCTCTAGTCACTGGTTATTATATTTTCCTTAAAATGTGATATAGATTACATTAGCGTGTGTTAACTTACGAAGTGGTTAAAAGAAAGACATTCGAATAAGCAAATAACCAGTATGTCACTTAGTGATATGCAACGTAGAACCTGAAACATATGTACATTCATTCAAGTTTCCATAGCGCATTAGCACAGTGTGATACAGAAAGAGTATCAGTATCAGAAGTAGTAAAGATTAGATGTAGAATGAAAAAATGTGTGATTACAAACAGTTCTGAACCAAGTCACCCAGACAAAGTCCCTAACTATTAGTTACGATAACCACGTGAACTCTAACCGAGCAGTCTACATCTATTAACACGACTCATTCTAATAGGATCGATTGAAGTTAGACATCAGACTGTTCTTATCTCTTGAAACATATCCATTTTTTAAGGGAAAATCTAAAAAATAAATTAAAAAGTAAGCAATCTGTAATCAGTTTTATGAATTATACAAACTGAATCAGCATCAAGTAGTAGTAGGACATGGAATTTGAGTAGTTATTCACTACATATTGAGTACACATCTATCTATCTATCTATCTATCTATCTATCTATCTATCTATCTATCTATCTATCTATCTATCTATCTATCTATCTATCTATCTATCTATCTATCTATCTATCTATCTATCTATCTATCTATCTATCTATCTATCTATCTATCTATCTATCTATCTATCTATCTATCTATCTATCTATCTATCTATCTATCTATCTATCTATCTATCTATCTATCTATCTATCTATCTATTTACTTACTTATTTATTTATTAAACAACTTTTATTGGCTTGGCATTTAGTATTAAAAGTGTGGAGAATTTTAAGAAATAGTTCATTTTGAAATGATCAAAAAGTATCATGTTCATCATGAGACAATCGATGGTAGGTTTGATCAATGGCAAAGTCGTAATTAAACACCCCTTGGAAGTCATGAATAAGAACCGGATGAATGTTTTGTGCCCAGTGATTTTTAATGGCTATCTAGATTATCTCAATCCATTATGGATACTAACATCATCATTTTTTTCAATATCATTTATCAACCAAAACGAACTATCGCTTAACTATAAATCGACCAATCAGTTTGTACTACTTATGTGAGGTGGTGGTTGGAGGTAACCCTAAACTTAGGTTTTGTGGTGTTTCGTACTCGTCGTCTGCCTGAATAGCTAATTGGTGACGTCTGTGACTGTGAAGCTGAGTGACAAGGGATCTAATCCGACAGGGAGCATCAGTGCCCTTAAGATAACGGGTGAACTTTGCTGATGGGTGTCAGACAGCACCAATCCTATCTTCAGGGTTTCTAACTACCTCCTTAGTGGTTCATATAGTACACTAGATGTTGAATCACTTGGACTGGAGGTCACATTGCAACTTGATTGATAGAATTCGATCAGCACTAAGGAGGACTTAACATACATAATACTGGTCACTACTCAGTGATCAATCAATTGCAGCACTATTTCTGTACATACTGAGATTCGTAACTTGTTGTAAGTTGTGATTGCTTATTTCACTAATATAATTGAGTTACAGATTGGAGCAATAAAAGATACTTATAATCAATTATTCTACTTTCTAATGTTCTGCTTAGAAATCAGGGAACATTCGAATTTGAGAGGTATAAAGATATTTTTTTAGTTGTTGCAGAATGGAGTTATTATTAAAATCAGCAAAGACACTGTCTTCATTAAAAACTACTAAGCTATAAGTATAAAATATGGATACTTTGTTTCAGAGGTCATGAATTTTGGTTCTAAATTAGTACTAAATTAGTACTACAAACATTGAAACTCGAACCCGGTACATTTCTCACCTTCCACTTCTCTAGTGAATTCAGATTGAAAATCAACATTGGGATGAAAGTCCATCCAACTGACCCGTCCCAAGTAGGACGACAAGCTCGATTTAGGTTCCTCTGATAGCCACAAGCTGAATATTCCCCAAAATTTGTGATATGATGGATATACCAGGGCAATCCTCACATGGTTTACGTATGCCCATATAGACGGATCGAAATTTAGTCTTCATCATCAACAAACGGATAATTCAACTTATTATAATAGTATTTTGTCAGTGTTGTTCACGGAATTTATGACTTTTTAAAATGGTATTCTTTCATTTTTCTGCTTAGTTATGAATGACTGAAGATATCTGTTAATATTCTCACAGGAACTTGTTGGATAAATAAATATTCAGAGGAGACATGTTTTATAACACGATAATTTGAAATTTATCCGGACTTTATTGGTTTATTCAAGCATATCAACAGACCCGGGTTTATTTATTTTTGCATGCAAGATATACTACCTATTAAATTCTGTAGTAGTTTATAAATTTTAACAAAATTATTGTCACACACTTTCTGGAGGATTGATTTTTCTAGTAAAATTTTCGAAGGATTTTCTTCAGTCAAGTTGATTTCTGGGGGACGAGTAAAAAATTTAAAGATCTAGGAACGATAGAGGTAAAGCCTGCAAAAAAACTTAGTATGAATTTGGATAACTAAAACTGTAACATATGTTACTTTTATTTAATTGTCTGGGGAGAAGTATGTAATTTATCTAAGTTATTCTGAAAATAATTTCCATCATAAAATGATAGGCATTTATAAACAGTTATCTGCACAAGTTACTCAATATCTATTGGCTAGGCACAATCAGCAACAACCTACTATGATAGAGAACAAACTAAGGAAAAGACTCTGGAGGTGGACAGGACATACACTACGGAAGTCATCAAACTGCATCATGAAGCAAACACTAACTTAGAATCGTGAAGGGGAAAGGATAAGCGGAAGACTAAGGAACACATTGAGTCTGGAATTGGAGGGAGATATCAGAAGAACGAATAGTAATTGGCAAAAACTGGAAAGTGTTGTCCAGGACAGAAATGAAATCATCTGTAGAAATTTCGGAAGCCACAAAACATCCGGTGAAACTTCTGATCAGTCAACTTCATTGACTTTTTATGGAATCGAACCAAGAATCTACAGTCCTTATAGTTAGAGTCAGTGAGTCAGTCAGTCGAATTTTAGTGGTTGATGTTTAAAGTGTACTCAGATCTATGTAAATTATTATCTGAATGTTTATCTATTTCTTTCACGTGTGGCTGAGTCCTCATATCACGTCTCCTTTCTATAAACCCTTAAATCAATTTATTAAAGAAATTCTTCATTTGAAGCAGTTTTAACGCAACTCCAATCTCATTCTTTTCATTCGTTGTTTAATTTCTGTTCATAAACACTAATTCAATCTGTTAAACATTAATCGTAATGGAATAAATTATTGAGTAGCATATAATTAGTAGATTCAGTCAACCCATATAATAAGATAGACGACAGGGATTATATGATACGATATTGGTAAAACAATAATTTATGGGCGAACCAATCAGATATAAGATAACGAGTCACGAATTTTAGCGCGAAGTTCATCCATACATTTGACTAAATAGAGTTTTGGCATTATAGCTGATGTCAGTTCATGGTGAAAACTCTAAATCTATTTTTTAACCCTAACTATCAACTTTAAACGAATTTCCTAACTGCCTTATAACCCTCATTTAGTCCTAATCAGTAAGTGTCTATTCTCAAGATCACTTCAGTACCACTCGAAGGTCATCCATAAATTATAGTCTCACCGTAGAATTTTAAGATAGAATGAAGTTATTACTATGAGCTGATAAATGTTTTCTATATAAAACGATATTGCCTACTTTATTGTATATATGTATGGGCATTGAGATGAATAAGTTAGCCAAATATTTTCAACATATAGATACAGAACAATAATGACTGATTACTAAATAGTAATCAGTATTATGTTTGTCTAGTTCTTAGTAATGAGTGAAATTTGTTAATTAAGTTGAGATATAACCATTAGTTTAAGTGATTTAGCATCTCAAGTACTGTATTTTGATGTTAGTTAGTTAAAAGCAATTTATAAAAATGTTCTGATTTATTCACATTTCTCGTTTACTGTCAACAGAGTATAGTTACAATTATAATGGGAGTAGTTTCCTTAGAGTTATTAGGATTATCTTTAATACTATATTCAAGTTGTTCTCCATCGTTTCACTGTTATAACTTTATGTCCGGCTTTTTATCACTTGATCTGTCCACCAATCAAAATACGACTTAGACGATCTTAGCACTGTGTCAAACCAATGACGTTCGACCGATATGAGCAGCCTAGCGTCCTTATAAATATACATAATCTAATTATTGAGTACTTATACCATAAGAATGTATAGATAATATTAGTCAATTAATATGTCTAAGAAGTTACTCGTGATTTAATCTACGCTCGGATATAACATTCATTTACTTCCCATATTGTCTTTTGAAGTTCAAACAGTATGAATCAATAAACTGATGCTTGTAATTATCTGTTAAATGAACTTTTCGGAATAGAGCTAATCAACTATAATTTCGTTCAGGATAATTAAGTTTAGAACTCAATGATTAATGTCTATGTGATAAATACTATTTTTCGTGCTGGTTATGCGTTTAATTTATGAAACATATAATTTAAAACACATAATACGTTGGTTGATAGTTTTGTTTGTGGCAGTATAAATCCAGTTCATACTTAGAGAAAAAAGACAACAAGCAATGCACATAAACCTGTTTTCATCATCATCATCATCATCATCATCATCATCATCATCATCATCATCATCATCATCATCATCATCATCATCATCATCATCATCATCATCATCATCATCATCATCATCATCATCATCATCATCATCATCATCATCATCATCATCATCATCATCATCATCATCATCATCATCATCATCATCATCATCATCATCATCATCATCATCATCATCATCATCATCATCATCATCATCATCATCATCATCATCATCATCATCATCATCATCATCATCATCATCATCATCATCATCATCATCATCATCATCATCATCATCATCATCATCATCATCATCATCATCATCATCATCATCATCATCATCATCATCATCATCATCATCATCATCATCATCATCATCATCATCATCATCATCATCATCATCATCATCATCATCATCATCATCATCATCATCATCATCATCATCATCATCATCATCATCATCATCATCATCATCATCATCATCATCATCATCATCATCATCATCATCATCATCATCATCATCATCATCATCATCATCATCATCATCATCATCATCATCATCATCATCATCATCATCATCATCATCATCATCATCATCATCATCATCATCATCATCATCATCATCATCATCATCATCATCATCATCATCATCATCATCATCATCATCATCATCATCATCATCATCATCATCATCATCATCATCATCATCATCATCATCATCATCATCATCATCATCATCATCATCATCATCATCATCATCATCATCATCATCATCATCATCATCATCATCATCATCATCATCATCATCATCATCATTATCATCATCATTGTTGCTAGAAGTATCCAAACATAAGTTTTTTTAGTTAGGTCATTATGTGGTTACAGTGAACATTTAAATTATAAAAGTTTAGGAAATCTTTGTTGAATTACTAGCAAATTTGCTTATTTGATGCGTTGCTATGGTGTTGCTATGATAAATGTTTTCAGTCTATAATCCTGACACTTGTTTAATACCTTATTTTTAAAATTATATCAACAAACAATTTAGTCAAAAATAAAATTAATTTATTGTGGATAGTGATCCTTTTTCACAATAGTTGGAAATCCAGTATATCTATTTTCGTTTACATTTAAAAATAGACTTTATCTACTTACCACGAATATATTCATAAGTTACTGATTGGATGGTGTAGTTCGTTTTGACTTATAATGCATAATGATTAGCTCATACAAGCTTATATGATAAACACACGATAAATGAACTAAGCTATTTCTGTAACCTAATTACGGATTGAAATGTTTTAACAGTATCATTGAAATTCTGCTTCAGATGCAAGACATCTTCGTTATTATTTTCAGCTGATAAGAGTCGGATGTAAGCATGTTGATAAGAGAATATGAAGAGTTGCATTTTGTAAAAGTATAGTATAGGCGCGAACCAATCAGAATCGAGAAAACAACTTTTAGGATTTTGTGCAAAATTCAAAAATCACGTGAAATGAGGAGTGGAAATACCTTTGAGTAACTCTTAGAGCGCCTTAAATACTAATGAAGAATTATCTTCAATCATCATAGAGTCAAAACAAAGTTACTTAACGTAATTAATAACCAATTCTTTCTATGTAGATTTTATATGATGAGCAAATCTACGCTATATCTAAATCCTAACTCTTAATTCTGAAACAAACCTTAACCTGGTGAAACGAAACATTATGGATGAATTAATCGGAGTTAAGACAGAGCCTCTTTTATCTTTGCCTGAACACTTAGCTTTAACTCTAAATACCTGACTGTTAAGTTCGCTACTGGATTAACGCAGAATACGGTTTACGACTACGACATGCGATCGTTGAAACGTCGCAAATCAGAAGACAGAAGAAAAGCTGGAGTGTTTATTTGGTAAGAATCGAAATGTAAAGAAAATCACGGTTATTTATAGATATTAGCATTTGGTAAATCAACATTATAATTTGGCCAACCCGCAAAGAGACATATTATGCTACTGACCAATAATAGCATGCCACGTTGATGTTCTAGAAAACTCCACCATGTTTTGACTGAATGAAAACTCTCCAGCTCTTTTAGGGCCTCTGGAGGTTCCGTTGTATTTCTCGAAAGCCGACTTGACATCTCCCGGGAATAAGATTTCTTCCTAGGATCAACTTGTAGCTTGACAACTGGTTTGCGGAGGCGTTCCATTATTTTTGTTGACTTCCTTGTCCGGGACTTCTTTTCAGTGTTCTTGGGAGTATATAACGTTGATTTGTCTGGGACCAACTCCAACGGAAGATTTGGCTGATTATTTTGAGTGCACATCGTTCTTTTGTCTTTATGGATTTGATTTATATGTCGGATACATGTCCCAAAGGTTCCTCAGACTCTGTGCAGAACTTTCTCCAATCTTTGTACGACATTTCCCGGTTCCCATCGGTTCTTTCCGGGTAGAATTTAATGGAGACTCTGTCGTCAACCTTAAAGCTCCGGATATTCGGATTGTGACTGTGCCCATACACCATTTCGGGTGGCAACATGGCATTGAAAATGGTCCGAATACGCCTTCCAAACATGGCTTCAGCGGGAAAATTACCATCTAGGAAAGTTGGGTTCGGAGTGGTTCTGTGGGCCGCTGAACATTTTGTGATTACCTGTCCAGTTGTCCCTTCGCCTTCCCCTTTCAGTAATGCTCGTTTAAAAGTGTCCACAAAACGTTCTGCTTGTCCGTTAGATCGCAGATGATAGGGCGGAGAACAAAAATGAGTTATTCCATTTGTGCTACAGAAATGTTTAAACGATTCTGCGATGAATTTCCATAATCAGTTACTAAGGTCTGTGGAACTCCAGAGCAACTCAACAAGGTAGACAACCTGTGGATTGTTTCTGATGTACAATTGGGCATGATATATACTTCTGGCCACTTAGTAAATGCATCCACTATGTTTAGTAGCATTCCAGAATTTTCGTGGAACCCAAGGACCTCTAAAACACTGTAAAAACCCTAGATTTTCTGCACATGAACAAACCTTTGTGGTAGAGCGTTTTCTTCCATATTTCTCGCCTTTTCTCCAGTGTTCAAGTCTCTGGGGGTTACTAGAAGAGCTTAGGAACCGAATCTATCGTTCAATTAGAAGACTTATCACAAACTAATTAGACCGGTTGCAACAATCGAAGTTTTGAATTTCCCTCACCCACCTTTTTAAATCGGTTTCACTTTCTTTTCGTTAATTATTCAACAGAATTCAGTGTTACTATTTGGTTTCAGTTTTCAGTGGATTTCGTGACACATTTTTTGACCGTAATCATTCAGCATATTTGTTTATTCGTTTAAATAGATAATTCACATGTATCTTTTATTTTTAAGCATAGTATAAATGTAGATAGTAAATTGTGATTCTTATTAATATTCCTTATTTTGTCTCACTCACTCATTCACTCACTCACTCACTCACTCACTCACTCACTCACTCACTCACTCACTCACTCACTCACTCACTCACTCACTCACTCACTCACTCACTCACTCACTCACTCACTCACTCACTCACTCACTCACTCACTCACTCACTCACTCACTCACTCACTCACTCACTCACTCACTCACTCACTCACTCACTCACTCACTCACTCACTCACTCACTCACTCACTCACTCACTCACTCACTCACTCACTCACTCACTCACTCACTCACTCACTCACTCACTTACTTACTCACTCACTCACTCACTCACTCACTCACTCACTTACTTACTTACTTACTTACTCACTCACTCACTCACTCACTTACTCACTCACTCACTCACTCACTCACTTACTTACTTACTTACTTACTCACTCACTCACTCACTTACTCACTCACTTACTCACTCACTCACACTCAGCAGGTCGATCACCTGATTATTCTCGTTTAATTTCTACTTATTTCTTAATTAGTAAAATACTAATGAAGTAATTTTATAATTATCGAAAAACAAACAATCGAAATACACATTTTTAAAATTAGATTAGAATATACTTAATAGTTATTTGTTTCTATTTATTAAAAGACTAAATTTAATTAAAAAGAGGGATTTAGACGTTTCTAGTTTTCGAATTAGTTGAAACTACTGACATATAGTTGATTTGGATTGGTTGAAGTTGGACATTAACACCGTTGGACGCCTGATCAGTGGTCTAATGGTTAAGCGCTTGAGTGCGAGACTGACAGGTCCTGGGTTCGAATCTCGCGGGGGCGGTATCGTGGATGCGCACTTCTGAGGCGTCCCATACTAGGACGAAATGGCCGTCCGATGCTTTCACGTTTTCTATGGTGTTCTAGTTTCAAATAACTCATGATTTCAACTATTAATATAGTTGATTTGTTTGTAAAAATTTATACATCTCGTAAAGAGGCTTCATAGCGAGCTGACTTTAACTGAAGAAGCAGTGAGGATGAGATATTTGTTCTATCAGAGTTTTTAAGTTTTCTTAGAAACTAGCTGGCCACTCCCTCGACGACTTCTTAAGGAGATGAACATAAGATCCCGATTAATTAATTAATTTAGAATAGCTTTATAGGAAAAACAAACAGTACACGTTTTCCGCTTTTTTAACGGCTATGAGACAGTTACAAGTTGCAAATGAAGTAATATTTGTCACTTACATATAGGGCGAAACGTTCGTCCCGGATTCCACTGCTAGTCACTATCCATCTTTGCTTATAATGCTTGTGAATTAAGGTAATACGCACAGTAAGCACATATGCCAAAAAGAGACTGATCAGTTGCAGTCCTAAACATCAATGGGAAGATTCAAGTAAACAATAACAAATGAATTTAGTTCTAAATGTTTGATGAAAATAATGCTTGTTCGAGATTGAAACTTACAACTTTCAAAATAACTATATTGATTACTAGTAAATGTATGAATTCTGCCTACACTTTAATCTCAAAATAACAACAAACGATAACTGTTGCGTTATTTAACAACTTATTTATACAAAGATGTGGGATAAAGCACAAAGTGTCAAATATTGAACTAAATTGAGATTAAAGTTGTTTGTATAACGTAACTGATTGAATGCAGTTAATCTAGAAGCTGATGGTTAAATAGCTTGTGATGACAACAATATTTTTCATTGAAATCATGGACAAATAAATGTTAGACAACCATTGAGAACCTGGAAGCTCTGAGAGACTGTTTCGTCTTAGTACGGAGCTCCTCATTAGTGAGCATTCAAGACCCCGCACCCAGAGATCGGATCCAGAACTATGGGCCTCGTGTCCTACTGCTCAACCTTTAGACCACTGTCTCGCTTTAATCAATCCACGAAACTGAGTGACCATCTTCTATTGTCTATAGTGGGTAGCTGCCTCATACACGACAAGCTTGAATTCCACTGGCTACGGCTTTTAACTAGGACGAAGTGACGTCTAACGCTTTCAGGCTTTCAATGTTGGTCTAAAATTGATCGGTTCGTGATTTCAATGAAACTTGACAATCTCCACAACTTTATACTGATAACAAGCTTTAGTTGAATTCAGCCATTACAATTCGGTGTGATCTATCATCAAGATGTAGTCGTAGTTATGATTGAACTTAAAATAAATACATTCTAATATAAGTCAGTAGGAAGCCTACAGCTTATTACAATATTGAAAGATAATACTAGAATCACAAACTGATATAAGTTGAAAAATCATCGAAAAGTAAGAGATGTTGTAGGTTGTTTCAGGATTGAAACTTCTTGGTGACATACACCTGCTAACCTTTATGAAATTAAACTAATAACCTATAATTCCTTAGATCGACACAATGATATCTAATCTTCGAATCCAAATACGTATATTAATTATGTAAAGTTCAGTTTACTTAAATAAATTTATCCAAAAATTTTATAATTTTGCACGAATCGCATTTATTTTAGTTAGGATACAAACCAGTAAGTAAAAATCAATATATCCCATCTTTGGGGAACTCAGTGAAAATTTTTTCAGCAATTGGAAAGATTGCGGTTTAACATCCCATAATACTAAGTTTGCAGATCGACTTTTGTTGTCTCTGTGCTACCAAATCTCTCTCTCTCTCTCCGTATCTCTAAAATTTCCCATAAAACATGCATTTTTTTTCATTTATTTGTTGGATAGCATAAGAATAGCCAAGTAAACGTGCCA